TTAATGTGGAAAGATTAGGTTTTTCACTTTGGTAAGAGGAACAGATCCACAGAGTGTTTTTTTTTTAATGGTCAGAGTTCAGGAACTAAAGATGGATGAAGAGACCTGGTTCTCCTCGGCAATAAGTCACTGAAGGTTAATATGCAGATGCAGCAAGGAATTAGGAAGGCTAATGTTATGTTAGCCTTTATCATAAGAGTATTTATGTACAGCAATAACAAAGTCTTCGCTCAATATCAAAGAACATTGGTTGGACTGCACCTTGAATTGTGTATAGTGTTGGTTCCTTTACCTCAGAAAGAATATTATTGCCATAGAGTGCCTGTAATGTATGTTCAGACATATAAGTCACCAGACTTGTTCCCAGGATGCCTTATTGCTGTAATAACTTGATAACACAATGCTACTAAATACCAATATGTCAGTTTAGCAGCAGTAATAGAGCTGCATAAACTCATTGGTAGTCTACTGCATCAGTCACCTCATCACCATTAACATTGTGAATTGAGGACTTCCTTGGTCTCTGTCAGCTCCTTATTCTGTGTACCCATGTGCAGGATCGTTGAAGGCATTAAAGACAATGGTAGGACTGTCCTATAAAGAGAGATTGAGCCCATTGGGCATGTACTCATTAGAGTTTTGAACAATAAGAGTTAATGTGACTAAAACTTATAGAATACTAAAGGGATATACAGATGAATGCAAATATAGAGTTTCCCATGATTGTAGACCGGATGGTACTTAGCATCAGCATTAATTATTTTCACTCAGAGGTTTGTGAATCTTAGGAATTCTCTGCATCATTGATCTGTGGAAGTTCGATCATTGATTATGTTTGAACTGGAGATTGACAGATATCAAAATTCCAATTGTAAAAGGGTATGGGATAACGTGGAGAAACAGGCATTGAAATAGATGATCAGCCATGATCATATTGAATGGTGGGGCAGGCTTAATGGACTGAATGGCCTACCTCTGCTCCTATGTTCCTCTGGTTTTATTGCAGCTTTGCACTGCACAAGCTACCTCTTTAAACATGGCATCAGAAGAATTGCCATGATCTAATGCCCTGATTTAGTATTGAGTACTAAATTGCAACTTGTTTAATTTATCCCACTGAAATAAAATGGACACATACTTGTAATCCTGGACCACAGCAACTACAAAAGATAATTCTGTGCTTTGGGGATTTAGCGGTATCTGATAAGATGGATTTAAAAATTTCTGTCTGATTTGTAACTGTCAATTTTTTTGATAGACCAGAGGGAGATCCGGAGCAGTGGTTAGAATTGTTCTTAATGTGGATTTCTCTGTGTTTTCATGAAGTACTATGAACATTAAAGGTGGATTTTTGTGTTGTTCTGCAAGGACTCATAGTATTTGTCCTTTGTGTACAGCAAGCTATCAAAACTGTACTCTAGAGAGTCCTTGCAGATTCCATTCCATTAGCATGGTCTTGACTACCTGACAGAAATATGAGCTTTTGTAATGATTTATTATAAAGTGCCATGAATAAACATTACAATTAAAAGAATTCTTTATAATCCTATTTTTATGCATTTTACCTTGTATGCTGTTTAAATTTGCATTTCAAGGACATTAAAAGGTATGTATATTATCTAAATAGTTGTTTCATGTTAGAGGGTATTTGATGTATGAGGGTGTCCATTTCATTTAGCTGAGCTTCAGGTTATTTACAGATGATCATTTTACAACATACAAATTAAAATCTTCCTGGTTTAGTTTATTTCTCCTTTGTATTATTTATTGAATATTCAGTATTTTATTGTTGTACAAAAAGTCATAATTGGCAGCAGCTCTTTCAAAATATATAACTAGACCATTAGATTGCTTCAATTTTCCAGTCAAGACTCAATTGTTTGTTAATAAATCCATGCGAATGTAGCTAACAGTGTTCATCAATATTAATGCTTTGTAATAAGATACCAAACTTTTGCTACTTTTCCTCAGAAAGTGGTACATTGCCTAATGCAAGTAGAATATATTTCCAGAATATGAAGCTTGTGTCTGATGTCCCATATAGGCTTTTTTTTCATTTACAAAATAAATTGTTTTGTTAATATATTTGGTGAAACTGTCATGTTCACACTGATCATTTAAAGAGTTTACAGCATCTTTGTGATATCTGTACTCCCTAGTAACTTGTAAAATGGTGGTAATAATTCTGTTTGATACAATTCCTTACCAAATGCATTAAAATTAGTTTTGTGTTCTCGCTGGTCTCATGATAAACAAATTTTGTTCGTCCAATTTTATTTGTCCTTCAAGTTTGCAGCAGTCGTGTGTTCAGTTAATTGAAGGGAAAGATGTAATGATAGTGAACATAGAACATAGAACAGTACAGCACAGTACAGGCCCTTCAGCCCACGATGATGTGCTGAACTTTTACCCTAATCTTAAGGTCTCTCTAACCTCCACCCCTACTTTATACTATCATCCATATGCCTATCTCATAACCGCTTAAATGCCCCTAATGAGGCCGACTCCACTACCCAATCCGGCGACACATTCCACGCCCCGACCACTCTCTGAGTAAAGAACCTACCTCTGACGTCTCCCCTATATCTACCTCCACTCACTTTAAAACTATGCCCCCTCGTAATAGCTATCTCCACCCTAGGAAAAAGTCTCTGGCTGTCCACTCTATCTATACCTCTGAACATTTTGTACACCTCTATCAAGTCACCTCTCATCCTTTGTCGTTCTAAAGAGAAAAGTCCTAGCTCTCTCAACCTTCCCTCCAGGCAACATCCTGGTAAATCTCCTCTGCACCTTTTCCAACGCTTCCAGATCTTTCCTGTAAATGAGGTGACCAGAACTGGACACAATACTCCAGATGTGGCCGAACCAGGCTTTTGTATAGCTGGAGCATAACTTCATGGCCCTTGAACTCAATCCCTCTATTAATGAAAGCTAACACACCATACGCCTTCTTAACAACTCTATCCACCTGGTTGGCAGCTTTCAGGGAACTGTGGACATGAACCCCAAGATCCCTCTGCTCCTCCACACTGCCAAGAATCTTTCCGTTAATCCTGTATTCTGCTTTCAAGTTTTTCCTTCCAACATGAATCACCTCACACTTTTCAGGGTTAAACTCCATCTGCCACTTCTCAGCCCAGCTCTGCATCCTATCAATGTCCCTTTGTAACCTAACGCGACTCACCTTCGTATCGTCCGCGAACTTACTAATCCACCCTTCCACTCCTTCATCCAAATCATGAACAAAACTAAATTCAAAGGACACTATTTTGTATAAGTCAAAGATTAATGGCTCCACTAGGTGTCAATTGAAGTACTATTTTCTTGTATGCTAGCATTGCAGAAACAAAGACAATAGTCATATTTTGTGTATGTTCTTGACATAATCCACCATCATTGCAGTCTATAAGAGCAGCAATTTACATTGGTTGGCAATTTGCTACAGATCTTGTTTTTAAGTCCAGATTCCTTTTTAAGCTGGAGTGGGATAGAGAAAGGAGGAGAGGGAGAGTAGCCAGCATCTTAGGCAATTCCTCGAAGTAAGGTCCTGCATGCTATACTGGCAAGATTTTTTTTTAAACTAGATCATCCAAGGGAGTTTGCAGATTGTGCAAGAATCCAGTGGAGGACCCTCTTCACTTTATTTCACCTAGTTCATTTGGTCATGCATTCTGGCATGATCGTCTTCAAATTTAGCAGGCAGAAAGTTAATGGTTTATAACAGACATATAAATGTTATTGTAGCTAACGTTGTTCATCAATATTATCAATAGGGTTTATGCATTAGGACAGACAAATAATCTTGTAAATGGAATGCAAAGCTAACAATTGCTGTGACACTAAATTTTGCTGTAGTTAGTAAGCTGCTGATGGAGTACAAGTTACTCGTCTAGAACATATGGCATATCTCTGATATATACAGTAGGCTTCTGTGGTATTAGTATTTTCTTCACTCGCCACAGATGTGCTCTGGTCTTTTGCCCGCCAAGTACTTTGGATGTTCTGTCTATTTTGCATCAACAGACTGAAAAGTGCTTCACAGGAAAATGGCCTGAACCAAGTAACTTGAAATATTAACTGTTAAAATGATCGGTTGTGAAAATATACATTGAAACCAATGCCATAAAATCTTAGGCACCCCATTCTGATTCAGCAACAATTGTATCCAAATACACTTCGAATGAAGCAACACAAGAACAGGGAATTATATCCAATACATATTAGCCTAGTTGCTATTGCCAAGAAACTAGACCATGCTTTAAGATGAGATTCTGTGCCTGTATGCACCAATAAATATAGTTGTTGACAAAGTTTTTTCTTTCTAATGGAGTCGTTGTCAAGCATTTTATATTTGTTCACTTTTTGGGAGATACCAAGTTGGTATCAAAGAGAGGATCATCAATCCTAAACTGTATGGAGGAAATGTATCCCTAGTATGTGCTAAAATGGTTGATGTCTTTGGAACAGCAATGTGGCAGTGGAACATTCTTCAAGCACGATGATTATGGTGAAGTAGATCAGGCAGAGTTAAAATACCAGTTAATAACGCACTTTGTGTGCTTAATGCTGAGAGAGGATCGAGTCAGGCATAGGATGTGAGCTCCACCTGTCAGCCAAGCACTAGTTTGTGTCAGGAATCGGGCATAAATCAAGTCTGCCTGAGTGAGGTAGCATTGAGCAAAAGCTTCAAGTGAGACTATACCCTGGCGAGGCAATGAACAACTTGATTGGGGTGGGGACACAATGGAAAACATGGGGTGTGCTGGGCAAGAGTCAACAGATGGATAGAATTTTAACAAAAAGACTTTGTCCTTTGTGTTTAACAAATTAAAATAAAAACCAACTCTTGTAGTCTATTCCAGTTCTAACATGCACTCCTGCTTCAATTCTTCAATGCTGTTCAATGTAATAAATACATTAGAAAACTAATGATTAGGAGAAAAAATGTACTTGGGTAGTGTTCTGTCTTTAATCTGGTAAATATTGTTTAATTTCAGGGAGAGCCAGTCACATTTTGCGAGGAGAGCTACGTTGCACATCGGTCCAGCACTATGAAACAGTTTCTTCAAAATGCAGTACAACTTCAGCTCTTCAAACAGGTGAAAAGTTTGTATACATGTAAAAATGTTGTGGATATGTCGCTGGGAAAGATTTATTTTTCAATATTTTGTACTAATATGTTTCTGTATATACATAAACATAATATGGATATGTCTCAAACTAGAATATTGAATACTTATTTGCAAGGATCAGTCCAGAATTGAGAGGTTGTAATGGTTAGGAAATACTGGCTGAGATTTTCCCTGAAATAAGCAGAGGCTGAGTGGTAGCCTGGAAGAGGGTTTTATGAAGGGGTTTGATATTGTAGTGTGCGAATGATACTTGTATTGGTGGAAGAATCCAAAGCAGGTGATCTAAAGTACAAGACCTGTTATAATAGAGACTTTAGGCAACTGGTTAGGATGTAGAATTTGCAACCACATGAACAGTTGAGGGACCAATGTAAATGCATTTAACGGGAAACAAGATAAAGGTACAAGGGGAAAATGCTAATAGGATGGGTTCAGAGGAATTCTGAAGAAGGTCCCTGGACCCGAAACATTGGCTTTGCTTTCTCTCCACAGATGCTGCCAGACCTGCTGAGTTTCTCCAGCAAGTTCTATTTTTGTTGGAGGCTAAGAGGAGGTTTCTGGTAAGCATAAGTGGCCCTTCTCGGGTGGGGAAGTGGACATCCATAAGTAGACATCACTGTGGCGTCAGTGTCTGTGACCTTGTAGGTTTGTAGATGGAAATAGTTTGGAATGTGGAAGGTGGAATGTGATGTTTGGCTCGCTGATGCATATCAAGAGCTGAACTTTCAGGCAAGCTTGAGTTCGGAGGCTAGAAGACCCACAAGTTGGCAATCCCAACCTTTGCTTCAGACTGGCACCATGAAGACAACCCCAAGCTGTTTTTCGAGGTTGAGTCAGGTAATGGACTACTACCAGCCAATGTAGATCAATTTAATGTTAGGAAGGGATCTGTGTTAGGGCTCTATTTCTAGGCTGACTGGGAGTTAGGCAGTAGACTTGAGCTCAGAACATGTCCAGGCCATAGGTGTGGCCAATGACCATCCCATTGAAAGGCTGCTATCTAAGTCACAACCAGGCAATTAAAAATAAGAATGGCCTAAGAAACGCATTTAATTGGCCATTCTTTCACCACCTTGGTGGGAGTGTCTGGGAAACACCCTACAGGTTAGGATCCTGAATTGGCCCCCGTCTTTGGGTCCCGCCTACAAATGAAAACCCTGATGCCTGTCAACATTGAGGGATGTAAGAGGATATGAGCAATTAGGTAAGTGGAAGTGACAGCATGCATTGTGCAATGATGGTTTACAACTTCTCAAACAATCTTTGTAAACGTTAAATTTGATGCAGTGGGTTCCTTTAAATTGTGTCCCTCCATCTGCTCCACTCAATGATTTTGTGACTCCCACTTGACTAAATGACTTTTGTGAAAATTGTAAGTGTATTCAGAATTGAAACAGCAACTTAAACTACAGCTGAAAAGCCAGTATTTCTCTCACATACACACTTTCTTAAAAAAAAATGCTCCATTCAATTTCTGATTTAGCATAATTGAATGATGTAGCATAGAAGGAAATACTTGGCTTACACAGTGTCACATCTGTCACAGAACCATCTAATTCATCCCGTTCCCTCATTCTTCCAGTAGCCTTGTAAATTTTCCCCTTCTGGTATTTCCAATTTCCTTCTGCAAGTGACTATTGAATCTGTTTGCAACATCCTTTCAGTGCATTCCCAGAACTTCCTCTGTAAGGAAGGAACATTGTTTCCTCATGTCAATTCTGATTCTTTTGAGCGTGACTTTAGATCTGTGTCTTCTGCCACTCAAAGCAATTTCAGTATATTTTTTGCACCAAAATCAGTCGTAATTTCTTACACAGCTGCCCTATTAACTACCTCCTTCGAAAAAAAACAACCCAAATATCTCTCTTGTAAAAGCAAAATACTGTGGATGGTGAAGATCTGAAATAAAAAACTCAGCAGATCTGGCAGCATGTGCGGAGAGAGAAAAACAGTTAATGTTTTGAGTGTTTATGATCCGAAGAAGAGCCATATTAGACTTGAAACACAAATTCATTCTCTCTCCACAGATGCTTCCAGACCTGCTGATTTCATCCAGCACTTTCTGATTGTATTCCAAACTTCTCCCACTTAGCTAAAGTACCTTATATATAGTATCTTTTCCAGTAACACTCTCTGTGATATCTTGAACTTTTCATCTTTTTGGTGTTCAGAATTAAACAATATTCCAGCTGAAATCTAATCAATATTTATAAAGGTTTGGCATGTCACAACCCCAGGCTGTAATCACAATAGTCATATCAAATTTGAGTTCCAACATTTTATTTTAAAAGAGGGGATTGATACAACCAAAGTGACCATGAATGTAAATGCACCAGCGGTCTGCAGAGAAAGAGAAAGGAAGAGATCCCCAGAATATCAAACCTAATGAGGTGACAAGGAAACATTGAAGGCATGGACTCAAATGGGGAGCAAGGCAGTACATATTGAGCTGTAAGGGTTATCTCCTCAGACTGTGAACTCGAACAGGAGAAAAGGCAGCAGTCTGGGAAAGAGACATGTTTTGTGCCTTCTCCTTTCAAAGATGCGCAGGATCAGAGGTTGAAAGCCAGCTCAATCCTGGTCTGTGTGTGCTAGTGGAAGACGGTGTGCTCGTAAGCTGAGTGTTTGTGTGTGCCAGTGGGACTAGGCACTTACTTGTTATAGCTAGCGTTCGAGCACTAGTGTTTTGTGAAAGTCCCAATGAAAGAACCAGTAAGGTAAACCAGTGTTGCAGGTCAAAGACTCCCCCTGACCGCTAGAAGCCAGCAAGCCAACCAAAGCAAAACTGAACCCAAGGATTTCAAGATTAACCAAGTCAAGAATCTCAAAATCAACTACTCAGCTATCACCATTCCACTGTTCATGACTGACCTATGGTGATTCTTACACATACCTTCTAATTATTATCAATTTTGGACTCATTTCCCCTGTCTACTGTGTTTTTGCTGTTGTGTTGTGTTAATGGCACGGATTTTCCAATATCCAGCTGAATGTTTCTGGGATGTGTCTGGGAATTGTTTGTCAGGACACAGTGGAAACCTGATGTAGCAGACTTTGAGGGAATAGTCCTTTTATGCAAAAAAATAGACATTGGGAGGAAATCATTTTGTTACTTAGCTATACTGATACATCCCAAAAATTGTGCATGTAGCATGTGCATGGTTTGCTGGAATAGGTGCAAATGCAGGTTTTGAGAGGGATACAAACAGTTGAGAGAGAGATTCATAGATTAGGCAAGGGGGAAATAAGTTTCTAAATGGATGATAATATCAGACAATATGAAATTGTTCATTTTGGAAGTGACAACAAAAGAACAGAGTATTATTTAAATGGAGAAAAACTGCAGAAAGCTGCAACACAAAGGAACTTGGGGGTACTTGTGCACAAAGCGCGTAAAGCTAACGCACAGGTGCAGCAGACAATCAGGAAGGCTGATGGAGTGTTGGCCTTTATTTCAAGGGGGTTGGACTATAAGAGTAGGGAAGTCCAATTGCAATTGTACAATGTGCTGGTGAGACCACATCATGAGAACTGTGAGCAGTTTTGGTACCTGTATTTAAAAATGCATTATTCCATTTGAGGCAGTTCAGACAAGATTCATGGGAATGATCCCAATAAGGAGGGATTGTAGTGTGAACAAAGGCTAAACAGGTTGAGACCCTACTCACTGGAGCTTAGAAGAATGAGAGGTGATCTCATTGAAACATGTAGAATTCCTAAGGGGCTTGACAGGGTAAATGCTGAGAGCATATTTTCCCTCATGGAAGAGTCTAGAACCAGAGGGCATAATCTCAGTATAAAGGGGCACCAATTTAACAGCGAGGTGGTGAGGAATTTCTTCTGTCAGAGATTTGAATTTTGCCACAGAGAGCTATGGGGGCAGAGTCCTTATATATATTTAAAGCTGCGATGCATATTTAGGTTCTTGATCAGTAGTGAAATCAGGGATTATGCAGAGAGGGCAGGAAAGTTGATGTAAGGAGTGTCAGAACAGCCATAGTCTTATTGAATTGGTGGAACAACCTTGAGGGGCCAAATAGCCTTCTCCTGTTTCTATTTCTGATGGTCGTGCATCTTCAGTTGCCTAAGTGACCAATCTGGACAACAAAATGTGGACAGATGTAAAAGCCTTCAAGTTTAAAATAAAAGCAAGCTAAAGACATTAGTATTGTTAGTCACAAGTTTCCTGCAATTTGCCTCTATAATAGCATCAAGTATGTTCCTGCAGTGTACAGGCCAGATTACTAAATCTGCCTTATTCCTGTACTTCTGAGTTATATTTTAAAAAGCTGGACCTCTGTTCATGAGCTTGCACTTAATCGCATTTTGGGGTGCCCAGCCATTCAGTTAACTTTTAAAGATCCTTTCTTGCATTGGTGGTTAGTTTTTCCACTTGATAACAAGGGCATAGTCTGGGAAACGTTGCTGCAATTCTGATTCCCTGCACATTTTTCTGAAGAAGCTTGTGATAAAACAAAATTATCCTAATTTCTGAGGATAATATGCACCTGTGTTTCTGAAATACTTTTTCTACAATTATTTGACCATTGATTTGCACGTTCTTGTAGCAGACTGATTGAGCTCAGTAGTTTGTGAAGAATGATAATGAATCAAGTGCTATCTTATGACAGGAGAATTTCTTGAGTTTCTGGCATGATAGCAACCTGAACTTCAAAGACATTTCTGCTCTGTAGTAGCTCAGTTGTTTTTTTATCTCATTTTCGTTAACATGAAATCCAGTAAATAATACTGATCTGACCATGAACCAAGGCCTTGGATCTTGGAAAAAGGCCCATTCAGAACAAATAGGACTTTGTCCAATTACGACTCAGATCATCTGCCTGGTTTCTATCATATGTACCCTATGTGCTATTGCCATTGTTTTAATTTATAGGAATTTAGCTAGTTCCGTATCAACAACTGAATTGTAGCCTTCAGATTACCACTGACTGCATAATTTATAATCATGGCAGGCCAGTAAACATCCTGCTTCAATTTGACCCTTCCATGTAATTCAGAGAATGTACCTACTTCACTTTAATTTCTTGTAATATGATAAAAAAAATTCCCCATTCTATCAATTGTGCGAATAGCTGTCTTCTGCAAACAAGTAACTCCATAGTTGAATCCTTTTTTTCCAACTGTGAGATTCAAACTGAAAAACAAAATGCACAAGTTGATTCATTTTGTAGATAACTGCAGTGTACACTTTATTTGTAAGATTATGTCCTTTATTCTTTGTGCTTAAACATGGCTAGCTTTGGATAACTACTGTGGAATCTAGTTCTGTTTTTGTAATAATTCACTCATTGCTTCCAATGTTGAATATTTCTGTATATTTTTCTTACCAGTAGTTCCAGTTTAATATTTCTGGCATCAAAAATTATTCCATCAGAAATGATGCTTTTATGTTTAATGTTTCATACAGACCATTTGTGTACTGAAGCAGTTCAATTATTTACAAAACAAAATCTGAAAAAAGTTGATGAACAAATTAACTATCTAATTGCTAGTTAGCATTCTCCAGATCGTGGAATTCAAATGACTGAATAATTTATTTCTGTTAAAAATAGTACCAATCATGCTTTTTTTAGACTATATCATATTTTTAATTAAGTCATAATAATTGGAAATCTTAGATTGAATATTGAAGACATAAACAACTGATGCACATACATCAGTACCTTGATACCATTTCAGAAGTAAGTTTAGACTTTTCTTCAAATGCCGTGCTAACACACTTCATAAGTTTTCTAATAAAAATATGTATTTGCAGAGTACAGTAAGAGTGTTAGCTGTTTAATTGTTAAACATGGATGCATGAATAATTGGTAATTTTATAATGTTGGCTAACTACTTTGGTTCGTCAGTGTTTTGGTTGCTTTTTTGATTGTTAATAAAACCAATGATGTGTAATTTGAATTTAAATAATGCAAGGCTGATACGTTTTGTGGTTGATCTGCCAAGAAATTGAGATGGGTCAAAAACCTGAAAAGTTATTATTTGATTATTTGGACCAGAGTTCTCTTTTCAAAAGACATATTGGGGAGTTGTAAGGAGGAAGTAGCTGCAAAGATATTCTGCAAGTAGAAGTTAGCTTTAAAAATTTGACCTAATAACCAGTCAAGAGAAATTTCACATTGACATTCTTGAAATCAGTAATAATGCTTTGTATTTTCTGTGAGTTATCTGCTGTTGGCGACACACTCAAGCTTTGAGTTAGAAAGCATTGTGGGTTCAAGCACCCCTCTAAGAATTAAGCACAAAAGTGAAAGCTGACACTCTTGTGCAGTATTAAGCGCCTGTTATACAGTCAGAAGTGTCTCCTGTCAGATGGGATATTAAATTGGGACTTTGTCTGCACCTCAAGTGGATGTAAAGGATCCCATACGAATATTTTGAAGAAAGGCAGCAAAATTGCCCTCTATGTTCTTGCCAATATTTATGCTAGAATCAATATCAAAAAAACAAATTGATGGCTCGTCATCTCGTGTCTGTTTTTTGGGATCTTGCTGTGCACAAATTCGTTGCCATCAAAAGTGCTTCAGTTGTTGTAAAATGCTTTGGAACATCCTGTGATCCCAAAAGATGCTATATAAATGCAAGATTTCCTTTCAGTTTTTAATTTACATGAAGTTAATAGCTTTTTTTGAGAAGAAAGAATGCTGTTCTAATGCCCTGGATTTGAAGGTCAAGCTGCCTTGTGTCCTGAAGCCACAAAAAGTACTTTTCATTGAGATTCATGATGGTTCTCCAAGGCAGTGAGACATGAAGAAGGGTCACTGGACTCAAAACGTTAGCTCTGTTTTCTCTTCACAGATGCTGCCAGACCTGCTGAGTTTCTCCAGCAATTTCCGTTCTTGTTTATTTAGAATTTAAAGAGCTGTGTAAGATTTGGCTTGTTTCATGGAAGTGATCATTGTTTCCTTTTGTGCAAGCTTAGGCAGTAACTTTTCGTCTTTTAGCTTTAGGTGATAGAATTGCACAACCAGTCATGATGAAGTTCATTGTCATTGCCCTGAAATGTTAACACTGTTTCTCTCTCCAGAGATACTGCCAGAGTTGCTGAATGTTTCTGGCATTTTCTGTTTTAGTTCAGATTTTGTAACATCTGCAGTATTTTGCTTTTGTATTAATGTGCAGTCAAGTTGTCTGCTTCTGAAATTCATGCATGCACATGTAAAATCAATGGTTTTAAACCATTGTCTGCTTTATCCCCATTCATCAAAGGCTAATGCATCCAACTGTGGTGCCCGTACTGCTAAAGGATATCAGCTAACCACCTATAGATTTGCAAATGATCCTGCAACTGCCCTCATCATACATTTTTGAGTTAGAGTAAACCAAAATGGATGTCACAACCATAGATTTTACCTATCCTGTTCACTGAATTGTACTACCTTTACCTTTTTGCTAGTTTATCGATGGGAGGTTGGAAAAGTTAAATGCAGGGAAAGGATTTTCTGATGTTTTCGAAGATGAGATAACCGCGGGAGGCTATAGTGGAGGTAAGGCATGACCTTGCATTGAAATGTATCTTTTTTTTTGCTAATAATCTCCTTTAGTCTTTGCCCTTCAGGTAGGAACCTTTCACATATCATGATTCTACTATCCTCTACCTGGTCCTTAGTTTGGGATAATGTCTGGACTTTACATTGATCAATTTTCCACTAACCAGATCTTAATTTTGAACTATATTTTGCTAATTACTTGGGATGCATTGACCTAAGAAGTCAATCCTGAATTCCAAGTTCTGTTGCTTTTATCTAAAGAATTGAGTTTTTTTTTTACTGTGTGTGTGAGCTAGAGCCTAATTATGGAAAGACTTGTACATTGTATAATATGTCCATATAAAATATTTATTTTGGAGAAGGGGAATAAATTTTGGTCTTCGTCCATAAGCAAAAACTCCTTAATGGGCATTTTTCTTTTACTTATTATGGGTGTGGGGATGTCAAAGAGAATGCCAAAATTCTATTGGAATGTTGAATATCCATGCAGGAAGAGATCAGGAGCAGGAGAAAGCCTGAAAGAGAAGATCTCCATAAAGAGCAAAGCTTTTTGTCCACTTGGGATAATTGACTTTGACTAGTGGAAAACAATTTGTAGAATAATTGAGTAGTGAGTCTTAATGCATAATTAATTGACTGCAGAATATGGAAAAGTAAACTTGCTTTCAAGCTCAAATTACATTAGATATTTTTATGCACAGTTCCCTGTAAAGGTTGTATGCACAATTTGAAATATATTTAAAGACTATCTTCGCTCTTCTACTTCACCACATGAAATGTTACTTGAATATTTTTACTTCTAACAAAAGGAGTAACTGTCAAACTTTTATTAATTGTGTACAGGAAATTCAAAATCTTACCAGCAATGGATGCACACAGTCAAGGTGAGTCAATATGCCTATCGATGCATATCAGCAGAGCATATGCTCATTTCTAGTTGTATCCACTATAGATTGACAGCGCTGAATAGCGATGCTTACCCAGAGCTGTGATTGTGATTAACTGAAGAATACTTCTGCAGCAATAATCTTCAAAATGCTTCTTGAGGATTTGGCCTAATTGTTCACAATTTTTATTTTAATCTTTGGGCTCTAAACCATCTGAGGCTTGATAGAGTGAACTTCTATCCTATGTAAAGCTCTCCTGGTGATTTGATTGATATACAAATTAACATCGATTCATCTCATAGAAAAGGAAATGTAGTTTAACAGAAGCTAACGGTAAATTTGCAAACTCTGGAAGAATCCATAAGTATTGCTGAAAAGAAAGGTGACTAAGTGATAAGAGCACAAGTTAGTATTCTGAAATAAGGACATGATTTGGAGAGTAGCCAGCTCTTTGTGTTGTGTAGCACAATGTATTATTTCACATGCTATCAGCAGATTAACCTGCAACATGAGCAGTTATAAATGGAAACCCTCAATAAGGATGAGATGTTGTATTTATTGAGTTGTGTTCTGCTGAGTACATCAGAGGACTTTCTTGACATTGAAACTCAAAGTCTGGTGCATACGTTATGAATTCAGGATGTAATTTCTGTGGATAATATTCTCCAAAATTAGTGAAATGAAGGAGAGCTGAGATCTCAACCACGAGAACGGTGATGTCAACGAACATTTCTTGTATGAAATTGCAATTAGTATTTCCATGCATAAGATATTGTAATTACCTAGAACTTTAAAAATTCATTAAGTTTGTAAGAAATAGGGACAGAATTAGGCCATTCGGCCCACCGAGTCTGCTCTGCCATTTGATCATTCTCTTCACCCTCATTTTCCTGCTTTCCCCATAACCCTTCAACCCATTACCAATTAAAAATCTAATTCCTCCTTAAATTCATTCACTATCTCAGCAACAGAGGGAACTTGAGAACCAACAGATGTAATTTTAAATATCCACAAGATAAAATGAGTGCATTGAAAATTTGCGTCCTGTAAATGGAAGTCAGAATTTTTAGCCTGCGCAGGCATGTCAAAGCATTAGCAGGCCTTGCCTCTGTTTGTATGTGATATTGCTTTGATGTATACATATACATTAAACTTGATCATTTACCATTTACAGCCCACACTAAATGAATTTGACTGAGGATAAGCCTGGTATTTACAGCCAAATACTGCAGATGCTGGAAGTCTGAAACAAGCACAGAGAATGCTGGAGAAACTCAGCAGGTCTGGTCACATCTGTGGAGAGAGAAACAAGGTCAGCATTTCGAATCCAGTTTGACCTTTCTTCAGAACTTACAAGTCGCACTGGACTCAAAATGGTCACTGTTTCTTTCTCCACAGATGCTGCCAGACCTGCTGAGTTTCTCTGGCATTGTCTGTGATAAGTCTGGTAGGTTGGCTGGATCCAATTAGCAACCTAATATTTACCAACATTAGCGTAGAAAGGCTTGAATCATTGGCTTTCTAAGGAGGTTAAAATGATTTAAAGAACCAGCAAAATAATCGATCAAATTCAAAGAAACAAAACAAAAACTTAGATTCTCACAGAACAAGGTGAGAACATCTGAAGAAATTAGGGAAGATCAACTTCCATTTGAACAGAAACACATAGCTGGAGAACCTCAGCAGGCCTGGCCACATCCTTGGAGAGCAAACAGAGTTAACGTTTCGAATCCAGTGATCCTTCTGAATGTAAGGGTCACTAGACTCAAAACATCAACTCTGCTTTTTCTCCACAAATGCTGCCAGACCTGCTGAGCTTCTCTAATAATTTCTCTTTTTGTTTCAGATTTCCAGTATCCACAGTTCTTTGCTTTATTTTCCCATTTGAGCAGTGTTCTTTATTTTCCCAGACTATCCCAAAGTGTGTCATAGTCAATTAATGAGACTTAGAAGAGTGTTTGTATTTGTAAGCACATCCAGGCCACATAGCTCCATTGTAATAGAAGGCATAGGTACATGGGCAAAATTAAGTTTAATGATTGCCTAAGTACCAAACTAACCTTTGTGATACCAGGCATTAACTAAGACTCTTAAGTCACATTTTCTTTCCTTTCCAGAAAGGTGGAGCTTTGATAAATACCGTGATGACGAAAGCAAATCCTGCCATGAAAACCGCGTACAAATTTGTAAGTCCCTAAACTGTGGGTGCCAACTGGTACAATGAGGTGTTGCAGTATTGTAGATAGACTGAGAATGCAAACAGCCTATTCAATAAGTAGGACAGTTGAATGTTTTGCTTAAGGTTAGGTTTATATTTGATGGTATATCAGGTTTAATAATAAACTCAGTTCCTTATATTTAAATGAGAGGACAATCTGTGATCTTGTTGGTTGTAAATCTTAGTCTCAACTGATGTTGAAATCTCTGAAGATTAAGGCTCCAACCAAACCTTTACCATAGTGCTATGTACATATATTTCTATGCGTGGAATCGGGAACACCTTTATTTTTGGTGCGATGAGAGAAGAAAACTGTGGGAATTGTTGACCATAATCTCTCTTTGTGGCTCTGAGAAAGACAGAATATTTTGAAAAATAATTGCTTCCATATTGCCTCCAATCATCCATTTGAAATTTAAAACTCCTCCTTTGACAATTTACAACAATCATGATTCACAAAGTGAAATTATTTTCACATTTCACATTTCCTCAGAACCCACCTGTGTAATTTTGCATAGTAATCTTACTAAATCTTCCATCAGTAATCAAGCAACATTTTAGAACATATTTGATTATTTATTCCCTCATATTAAAAGATAATTGTCAATACATTTAAGAGTGGTAATCTGGTACAATTTTGTAATTACAATAGGAAATTGGTTTATTAGCATATTAAAGCATTTTGATTGATTATGTCTCATCCACCATTTGTGTAACCTGATCTTAACTGAAAGTTACCTTTTTAAAAAAAAATGCAGAACCATTTACTAATCACATTCATGTACGTTAGTCAGTTTCTTTGCCTTTAAACATAAAAATCAATTTAAATTCAAAAGCTAGTTATGTGTGCCCTTGTCTCCAAATAAATCTCAATTTGAAGAGCCTTCTTGAAGGGCCACAAGTAGAAGGCTGACACACTGATAAATTTGATCCAAGTAGAGGAAGCTTCCATCACAAAAGGTTGCAAGCACTCAGTTTATGCGGGACATGTTTACAACTGAACTTCCTCAGTCTTTTGCACTGGTTTGGCCAAATTGCCCCTTGAAAATCAACAGAGCCAAGCTGAAACATGATCTCAATTTGTTGCCAAGTGGTAACTGACGTGGTGACTGTAGCTGTCTTCAAGCATTAAGGGTGAAAAGTAATTCAAAACATCTTTTTTTTTCTGAAAATTGATAGAGAATGCAAACTGGGAACAGAAAAGGGCCTTTATTTTCAACGCTTCATCCATGTAATCATCACCATATCAATAGCATTGTTTCGCAAATATTTCAGCCATAGTTGAACAGATAAGTGTTCAGCCATCTATTGCCCCTCTCATAAATGATGCAGTAAGTGTTCATTGGCATTTGATAAAATGTTTCTGTAAACTCTGTGATACACACAAATCAGTTTAGACAATTTATTTTTCTGAGTTTATGTTGCTAGTTGTAAGATCAGATTTGTCATTAATATTTGGTGACATTGTACACTGTCCCAAAGGATCTGTGCAGCTGACTAGTTGTATGAGGAATGAGTTACCTGACTACTTCTCTATTTGGGTCAGGTGTGGACTGGAGGCCAGGTACATTCCACGTATAGATGAAATATGCATGAGTCATGCAGAACGGAATATCCTGCTGAATGATGTTGACTCAAGCCCTGGAGCAAATTGCTTTGCCTTCTCTCGTGGAGAAATGCACAGTGTGTTAGAGGCTGAAGAGTTATCACACCAAAATCTCTCACACTAAAGGAGAAACTTGTTCAAGACTGCTTCATCCGCACCTACCTGTCAGATTTCAACTTAACTTTGGATAATGCTGCTGTACCTTTATTGAAAATTTACTTCAAAGGCATATTCCACAATAGTTAGACTAGATTCTTGTTTCGTGAAATGCTGTTCGTTGTAAGATACTGAAAGAAGGAAACCATGCAATAGGCAGAAGGTTGCTCAATTAAGCTTTTCTTTCAAGAAATGTTTCTAAATTGGTGAATTGACACTATAAAACATTGAAAATCTAATACCTCAAAAAATTGATGATGAACGTAATTTTTCTCTGACATCTAAGAGTCACTTGTTGGCTTCTTTCATTGTTACACATCAAAGAAACAAAGGTGCTTTAGTGAAGGCAATCAAAACAGATGGGTAATAGCTGAAAGTTAAATATGTTTAATTTTAAATTTTCAATGCAAGAGTAAAGGTTTGGTTTTATGATTTAGTAAATGCATATGTATGGTAACTTGATAGTAATTTCCTATTTTATATCTTTTATGAATTGCTGCTGGCTTGGCCAAATGTCTTGAAATTATTATGAAGGATGCCATCCTTAATTCACAATGAAACAAACTGGTTCTGGTAGTTACCTTAAAGAAAACCTCTTACGGCTATTCAAATTTCATTTTGAGAAACCATTTTTTTCTTCAAGGCTAAGAACCAAGCTAAGATGGGGATCAAAGAAGTGAAGAGCATGTTAAAACAGAAGGTACATAACATTTCTGACTTCACTGACATTGTAGTCTTTGAAATATCTAAAATGGGATAGTTGCAAGAGACATTGTCTCTTAATGATTTGTGAAATTTGCTTCATTCTTTGTTCAATAACATACATTTTTCATAACTGACCCTCAGGCTATCTTGATCTGTCATTGTTTCATGCTGAGGTTGAATGAATTCTTTTTTTTTTTTTGTTTGCATATTTTATTACTTATTGATGTCCCAAATATTGCTTGGAACAAAATGTGTATTTTGATCAAATCAATTGTTTTGATATCACAGTTAAATGTCAAATTGGGATTGAAATCAATTTGACTTGCATGCAACATTTGTATGGAACTAGCAGCAGAATAAAACTGTAAAAACATCTGCTGGTGGCAACAAAAATCATTATTTCTTTCCTTTGTAGATCAAGTACAGATCTGATTTCATATCTCTAAACTGATATTCAAGTTTGTATTGAACAAACCTCTTTCTTACTGGGGGCTTGATGGAAGTACAGAAAATGGTTATTAGTCAACAAGTATTTGCCTGTTTCAAGTCATAGAATGAAGTTGAAATGCTGTTGAGGGATTTTACTATCTGTGCAGGAATCAACTGAAGATGAAGACTTGCATCATAACGAGTGTCTACCTCCAAACCTGCAAAGGCGATCAAACTCTGATCTTTTACAGAACCGGCTTCCGGCCACCAAACGTAAACGGGTAAGGAAAAGAATGGTATTGATTGTTCATTATTATTTATATTCACACCCCAGCAACACCAGTTGTCCGTACTTTGTTTTTAATCTGTTTAGTTTTGTAAACCTTTGCTAATTATTTCTTTTGAAATTAGTTATCACTAATTGTCATGAATGTTGCAATATTGGCAGTACCATTCATTTCATAAAATTTATCTCACAAATGAGCATGCAACTGACATTCAATCTCATAAATAATGTATAATGCAAGAAAAAGATGAATTTGTAGCATTAGATTAGGTGAACCACAAACGTCTGGCTGGATTTGCCACATGTTAAACCCTGCCTTGCCCATAGACTTTGTGTGGGACATGGTTCTGGAGTTTACTGTAAATGCACATCAGAAAGCACAGCACCCTTTACTTAGCTCCATCTCAGGATAAAAGGCTGATTATTTCAGACTGTGATGAGGACAAATTTCTTCACACAGAGTTATGAATCTGTGAAATTCTCTTCTCCAGAAGATGTGGATGTTCCATCACTGAACATATTTAAAACTGAGGAAGGTAGACTTTCAGGTTCTCAAGGAATTTAGGGATGTGGGGAGCGGTCTAGGATCAACCATGACAGGGTTGAATGGTGGGCAGGCTTGAGCAGCTGTGGGGGTTCTACTCCTTGTTATATTTCTTAGGTACAGAGGCATCATCTGGGACCTGTGTGAACAGAGCAAGCATCTGTATATCTCATTAGTCATTGAGATTAAAGAATGATATTGAGTGGGAAACAGCCTGAACCACCGATTCAACTACAAATTAGGAACAGGTATCGAAATAAAAAGAGGGAATGAAAAGAGATGGTGTGATAAGAGAGAGAAAAGTAAAAATTATTTATCTTTTACTTTTCATAATTTCCAACAAAAACTAAATTCCATAAGACAGGGCTCAAGTTTACGAAAGTTGATATTTAGGCGTTGAAGTGTTTTTTGGCAGTAATTAATACTTTACTACATTATTGAAAGTTGTACTTACACTGGAATAGACAAGCCCCATTTATTTCTGCTGCATTTAGTCCGTATCTGTCAGCTAAGTATGTCAACTTCACAAATTCAAAATATGTGAAGAAAGAGCCAACTGATTCCTTTCTCATGGAACTTTTGGACATAACGCCATGTCTCACATAGTAATCTCCAAATTTCCATTTTTAACTTCACCTGTTTGGTGGCCAGGAGTTACGATTTAATTTCACTGCAAATAATGGTGAACAGTTTTACCCGCAACATTAATTCTACAATACTATATGGCCCAGTATTGTTCAACTGAAAAGAGCAATTGAGAGGAAAATAAGTTGTAACAATTTGGTAGAAGCTCACTTTATACCATCAATCTTGTGTTTTGAATTCTTGACAAAGTGTTTGCTGTAGCTGATTTCCTCATTTTGACAACAGATAGGTAAATATAGCTTTAAATTCCTCTAAGTCTATCGCTTGAATAAGGAAGCTATATTTAGCAGCATAAATGCTGGAGTAGATTCGCAATGCCTAATCTGTTTGTTTTCATTGTATTGTTCGAGTACAGTGTGCTGACACAAAAAGTGTCAGTTCTCTAACCTTGTGCTGATATTTTAGTTGCCCTTATTTAAATGAAAGGTTGACACAATTGTGACTGAGTTGGGAAGTCATGAAGCAAGCCCCACTCTAGGATTCGTGAGACTAATCTACGCTGATGTGATTTGGCAGCATAACATCATGGAGTATTTGGAAGTCACTTAAGATATTACATGAAAAACAGTATTTCACCTCATCCACCCCCTTTCTGCAAGTGGGGTTTTTTGATTACATTGCCACATTTAATGTAAATGTTGGGCATTTCTGTTGAAAAGGGGCTAATGCTTCATTTTTCTCATGCTGATCCTTTTTATAATGCATTTTTGTTGGAAGTTTGAATTATTGGTCAGGGATCAGTGTCGTGTTTGTGACATTTTGAAGTTCCAGCAAGTTAGATTGGGAATACTTGGAAAGATCTGTTGTTGCCACCTAGTTACCAGACAGCTTAGTGTCCATGTAACCATGGATGATAGATTTGTTTGCATGTGTGTGGGAGACGGCAAAGCAATATGTTTTATCTGTGATTGCCAGAAAATATTACTGGGCCTAAGGAAGCAGATGGTAAGCATCTCTGTTTACAAACATTAAAAGAAAATTTTCATCTTTAAAATTTCAAGTTCACTTCCAAATACATTTCCCCGCCAACTGCTTTGAGCAGTGTTGCTGTTATGTAGAAATCTATCTTACTTCCATGGTCTTGTTCCACCTTTTTGTGAGCATCATCACTTCTTGTCAGTGCTTTTGGGAAGGGATGATGTCAGGATCATTCACTTGTTCATTGTCGCCAAGTTGTAGGAGATTGTTCAAAATCTTGATTCATAAAAACAAACTGCACAATAGCCACAGTGCTCCAGGATGTATTGAGAAAGCGTAACGTGGTTGCCGTGAGAACTTCTTTACCGGAATTATTCCACGAAGGAGCACCAATGGTAGCTGTTCACGTAAACCAAATAGTTGCCTCCATCAGATAACAGGGAATAGAATAAAGGATTTTCCAATATGTAAAGGTGTTAAATGTAGCTGAAGGCCTTCTTGTTACTAAAATATATTTAAATTTTAATTTAATGTCCCTCCATGGTACCCACATTTTTGTTTGCGAATGTGAATACTGACAGTCCTGATTTTGAAAGGTGCAGCTTTAAATTAGGTCATTTTAAAAAGGAAATTCTATTATGATGTAAATGTCATTGGCAAATCGAACCATTATTGCCGATTCCTAATTACCATGAAGGTGGTAGTGAACATACTCGTTAAGCATTCCATTCCATGTGGTATAGATACAGTGGTGGTAGGAGAAATTCGAATGGATGGCAGTGAAGGAGAGACAATATGGTTCCAAGTCAGATTCACTAAAATGGACAAACTGTAACAGAAGAGCAAGCATTTGTTTTTAAAACAAAGTGAAACAATTCAGGCCCATGTTTGCAGACTGACCATGTATCTGGCTAGCATTTCTTTAAAAACATCACAGTTGTCTTTATTGAAAAGTAAATTAACGTTTAAATGCTTCCTTTTAAAAAAAATTTTATTCTAAGCATTGTGGCTGGTAAATAATATCTATCAAATAATTTTACCACCATATCCTGTAGAATTATATTTCACACAAAAGCTTAAATTTGCCACAAAATGTGCCAAAATTCGGAAATTGCAGGGATGGATGACATTTAACTGTTTAATATGTTTGATGAAGTTACTATCTCTGCTCTCCTAACTGAGCCACGAACCCACTTTTATTTCAAACTGGTATTGTATTAAAATAGAGAGAGGAAATTGATGCAAAAACATTGACCACTGATGTAGTGGAACATTGTTCTCAGTCATTTGTAGACTCCTGTTTCATAATGCCTTTGAAATTTTTAAAAGGATCAAAATTGGATAGTTCCTTGAGATGTAAACCTGATGATTTTTGTTTCAGTTGGAATCAAGAGTAAAGCTATTTGTACACTAGCTGTTTTGGTGTTTAGGCATTTTCCATGAAAGCTTTTTTCTGGATTTGAAAATAAATGGTGTAACTTCACACAGTTATGCATGTGACAATGTCAAAAAAGTAGAAGAATCAAAAGAAATAATCTTCACAAATACATTTTAATACCATAGTAAAGATATGCAATTTATAGTAAAACAATAACATCTTTATTACTAGTCTGACTGCCAAGTAGCAGTGACCTGCAGAAAATGTCTATTTCTAGCTGAAGAAATATGAGTTGCTTGTAATTATGGGTTATTTGCCAAAAAACTTTGCGGTCTATTGTGGCAACAAAAATGAGTGACATTTTATGCCTAAATGGTTCATCATAGACTATTGTGTTGTGCTGTATGTTAGATCTCACTGATCGGTGGAATTTTAAAATAAATTGTCTGTCACTTTGTAACTGGGGAAAATGTCAACAGATTTATTTGAGGCTGCAGATTAGAAGAAATATTTGGCTGTCTGTTAAGTTTTATTATTGCTTTACAAAAGAATACAACTGCTTTTCAAAAGTACAGAAATTAAAATGAATTCTGCCTGCTATCTCTTTTAACATAGCCAGTCTTGCATAACATTTTAATTATCTGCCAAAAATTTGTTGGTTTTGTTCATACGGCTCACATTCTTAATGGACTGTCCGTGTCATCCTTGGTGACAGTTGCCATGAGTTTTCTGACACTTCAAATGTAGACTGTGCTTGAGGTCTGTTTGAAAAATTCTTGATAGTTATTAAAGGAATATATTTACTAATTGTACAGCGGCATATCTCAGAAATATTGTTTTTTTTAAAAAAATCTCTATTTTCTTCTTCATTTTTAGCATAAGAATAGCTTTTAGAATTCCGTAATAGTTGTCTGGACTGAGAGATTTTGCAGTTTCCCAAGTCTGAAAAAGCTGACAGTAGTGACACATGAATACCTAATACTGAGTGCCCATCCCAATGTCACAATGACCCCACTTTTGTATCATTCAACTGTATCAACCAAAATGTCTCCAGGTTACAGATGAATTTCAAGAAGCTTTTTTCTAAACGGTTTATTAAATTAACATTTACTGTTTGTAATATTGTTCCCACTTAGCATTTCATTGTCTTATCCACTTTTTGTGCTATTGCTTCATTTTCTACAAGTAATGGAATTTTGAAGAGTCAACAAAATCGTAAGTTTCTTCAGTGGCAAAAGTCTAGAAATGATTTCCCTCCAAAATCCCAGTCTTCTGGTTCCACATACTACTTTGGGAAGCTGTTTGTGGCTGCGTTATTTTACATAGATGGCACCATGAGGCAGTGGAATATTGTTTATTGTGACATCCTTGTTTTAGTGTAGGCAGCTTCCTCGGATGTGGTAAAATAAATGATGAAGAACAACCTTTGGTGAGGAATACTTACAATTATAATGTCTGTGCCTTGATGTGGATTTATCATGTTAAATGCTCTCTTCTCTCTCATAGTTAA